TTTCTTGACAAACACCTATTATGTACCTTAGAAAAAAGAGCCCACAACAACAAATGAGCACAAACATATTCTCATTTTTGGAGAGCCGTAGTAGCTGAGAATACTGAGATGGAGATATTAGAGTGGGACACAGAAGCCCATTGTTCTGCTGGATAGCTTTACCTCCATCCTGAGGCCAGAGCAGATTCTCCATGGACCTCTCCCTCCTTTTCTCTCCCTTCCTTTTTCACTTCAGACTGTTGATTTATTGAGTCATACATTAAAATGTTCATTACTCCTACAGACTTTCCAAATTCCCTATTTCTCCTAACACTCTGGTTACTGTCTCATGGAAGCACCACCTGAGAAAAGGGTTTCTGTTAGGAATAGGCATTTTGGGGTCCCACTATCCCAGCAGGTATTGGAGCCAGACAATCAAAATATGAGCAAAGGAAAAGGAGTGTAGGTGGAGCTACAGTATGGTTGATTTTCCCATATCTACTGTATACACTTCAATTCTTAGCTATTCCCTTTGCGTGTAGCTTGAAACTAAATCAAAACCATTGGGCTTTGTGTGGGCTACTGTACATGGATGCAGTAAAGGAACTCAGTCTGCAGCCGTTGTCCAGGCCCCGGTGCCTCCTCTTAAGTTCTGACCTTTATAAAGGATAGGAGTCTGTCTACTCCCTCGGCCAGGTTACTTCAGAGATAAATTGCAACCATAAAAAACCTAGACATATAGTAACTGCATTGACTTAACAGTAAGCGTTTAAACTATAATCATTCGAATAGTTAAGGAATCACGGTTGCCCTTTGTTCCGACACGATATAGAGGAACTCCAATCTGAGGTTTGAGCTCCATAAGTGTTACATTGTCCAAATAAACTTCATTGTCAGGAAAGACTCTGTAATCTCAACCAAACCAGCTGCATCCATTCTCCTATTCCTGCATGGAGCCTGCTTGGGGCCCCTGCAGTTCTGACTATGTTCCACTGCTTGTTTTCGGGCCCCACTTTTGTATTCCGACATTGTATGGGACATCTTATCCTTCTTCCCTTCTCTTCTCATTTGTCTATCCTCTCCAGCCAGCCCCTCCAAATCCGTATCCATCCATCCATCTGCCCTGAATCCACTTATATAAGGAGATAGGGTGTAAATATTTTTGGTGTGGAGTGTCAGCGCGTATCTCCCCCGCCAGAGGGGCCGGCAGCCTCAGTCCAATCAGCCATGTTTGTTTGTTCAGCTTAAACTGTGTGTGCCTTGTTTTCCGTGGCTTGTGACTCCCTCCAGCTAGAATAAAGTGTCACACTTGTTCTTTTTTGCCTTCCCCCCCCCTCCCTCGCCGTCTGTGTTTCCTGGAAGCGAAGATAGATAAGCCCCAAAGTGTGTATTTGTGCGCTTATTCACGCACCAAGAGCAAGAGTGTGTATGTTGTGTGAGTTGTCAAAGCTGTCAGCATGACTGTTGTTCTGGCCTACAGCCTAGTGTCGAACAGCAGCCGTGCAACAAACACAAAACATCTGTTCTGCACACCACAGTAAAAATATCATGATGCAAACCCATTTTCTATTGATCAACCAACAATACGCCTTGTTTACAGCCACTTCACGGAACATGTCAACATCTGCAAATACTTACCTGTTGAGGGAAGCTTATTTCACACCAGTGTCATCATTCCAGTATCTACTTTTCCAACTAATTAAAACAACTCCCGACGTGACCTAAGTCAGGAAGTGATCTGCGCTGTCCAAACACAATGTCACAGCCCCTCACATATATCCAATTCCAATGTCATGGCTGCAAATCTCCAGGTGGATTTTGAAAGAGTGACATTCTCAGTGGACAGCTTATTTCTTGCACGCACCCCTCCTTCCAACCACACAAAATAAGCAATCTGGAGATTTGTAATGGTTTTTGCCGGGCCTGCTAATGTATTTCATGCTTGTTTAAGATCTTTGCATGCTCCTTACAAAGGTGCATTGTGATAGGTGTTCCTTATTACCCTGCTCTGTATAGAGTCTAAACACTGGTGGCTGGGAGAGTGGAGGATAGTGGGAGGGAGGCATGAATGGCTGATATGTTTTTTTTTTCCTCTGTCAGTCTCTTCTCACTCTCTCCTTCTCCGGTGATCTCTGCATGCCTATTAATGTAGCAGAGGAATGCCTGTGTAAACATTCTTGTTTCTCAGTCCGTTTCGCATAATAGTTGCCTGTATCGCCTTTCTCCTGACCCCACTATCTGAAACCAATTACACCAGATCCATTTGGGCTGAATCTTATTTTCATAAGGATCTCCGCGTCGCGGTCTCGGTCGCTCGTGTGTTATTTTCCCTCCTCTTATTTTTTTTTCCAACCTCAGTGATGGGTATCAACATCAAATATGCCTCTGAGTGCCTTGTTATTTATATAGCAGGGCCTGGCTCTTTCTCTCTCCCTCTGTGTCTGGCTCATTCTGAAGAATGTGTCACATTGTGCTGTTTATACAATATGTGCATTAATAGACTAGGGATGTCATTTTTCCTTGCATAGCAACGCAGGTTAAATAGACGGTGCGCCTCCACTCGTCTGTGTTTTTGTCCGCTCCGGCGGCTCTTCAGCAAACTTTTGATGACTTTTCTTGGCGGTTTGCACTTTTTTTGTGCTTTGAGATGAGCTCCAGCTTGCCATGTCTGTGGAGTGGGAAGTGGGTGGCACAAATTGGTGCTTTTTACTGTAATGGCTGAATACACCGAGCCAGTGTAAGTGAGCGGACAGGGCTTCTTTTTTTTTTACCTTTTACCGGAGCAACTCTAGCTAACCCCACTTCTTCAGATAAAGCACTCTGGAAAAGTTTGGCTGGTGTTGATAAGGTCTGTGTTATGTTTGGAGAATACTTTTCATGCAGCCCGAACAGACTTCCTTTCTAATAAGCCGGGTGACGTTGATCTTCCTGCTTCACCCCGTCCATTTGCCTGCCATGGATATTGGAAATGGCGTTAAAAACGTCTTTCTTCTTAACCGTGTGTAACATATGGATCGGCTCTCTTGACTTTGAGTCATTATTGATTCACACATGGATAAACATTTCCTCCTCACAGCTACTTTGGCTTGCATTCATCAAGCAGCCTTCCCTCTAACTACTGTGTGCAAGACTCAATAAACCTTATAATTACTTTGATTCACCAATCACGGGCAAATTAATTAGGCCCCGTGTTCTAATTAGCGACGTGATTGGCTGCATTCAAGGAATTTGTTTTGTCTCTTGCCTTCAGTAAAAGGAAGTCAACAACGTTTGATTTCCAATCCGTTTAAAAAAATAAAAGAACAAACATCACATGGCTGTGTTTGTCTGCAGGTGTTGATGTGTACTTTCATTGTGTGCCTACTTTTTGAACCTATGTGTTTTCCAAAGAAAGGCCATGGCTCAGCTTACAGATGACACACACACACACACACAGACACATATAAGCCGATGGCGACTAGCCTCCTCTTACCAAGGAGACGGATCAATGCAGTTAGGACCGAGTGCCAGTGTAATGTGTTTGTTTACTTCACTTCAGAAAGCCTGTCTCCTCCTGAGCACCCAGACAGACAGCCCATCCTCCACATCAGCCCCCCACCTCCCAAGCTCTGTCTTTTCATAATTGATCAGGAGGTGGCTGCGTTCCCCGAGGGGTTAAGACATGGCAACTTTTTTTGTTCTCCTTCTCATTTTTTTTACTCCCATCTTCTCCTCATGTTTGCACTGGATCTCAATGTACTAGTTCAAACATTGTTCCCACCAGCTGGCAGAGCAGCGCCATATGCACGCCCTGTCAAGGCAGCTGTTGTCATGGATACTGGCAAGCACCATAGAAAATAAAATGAGCACCCCTGATTCCCGAGGAAGTGTCACTCTCCCAATCCCAGTTTTTTATTTATTATTTTTTCTCCACCTCCTACTCGTCCTCTTCTTTTTTCATAAAAAAGAAACACCTGTGAAGTTGTTGTGTTGTGTGTGTGTTTTTTTTCGCTCCTCCTCCCCACCCACTTGATGCTCATGGGCCCTAAGAATACGAGGTAGTGTGGAGCAGCGGTAGCAGCAGCTGTGCACAATGTTCTTTCCTGCCAGACTCTTTCATCCATCTGCTCTTGAAGAATCGGAGTGAAGCTGCTAGCCCAGCTGCCACCGTACCTGTGAAGCTGGAACCGCTCGTCACACACATTCAGTACACACAGCCAGGCAAAGGGGGGCATCTGTAATCCCATCAAACCCTAGAGAAATAAATTACACCACATCCAAACCTCTCTGATCCCTATCATCTCCCATGTCTGGCAAACTCATCAAACGTCATCAATGGCAAATTTCACAAATGTTTTTCACCACGTGTAAAAAGCTTTGGGGTAATTTCACCACACATGGAAAAGGTCTCTCTTTCTCCATCTACCTGTGCATCTTTCTATCCATCTAGCACCCACCCTGTGCTCATGAGCATACTCAATGCACAGCGTGAAACCTGTGCTGCTAGTTAATTCACTCTAAATGTAATCTGATGTTGATTTTGTCAACTTTAATTACAGCTCCCAGGGACACTTCACATGGCGCTGCCTCTACTTCAAATTGATATTATGAATATGCAAATGTGGTGGTAATTTGCCGAGAGAAGTGGGTATTTCAGTTGAGCACACACTAGACAGGTCAATTCTACCGAAGCTCTGTCTTTTTTTTCCCCCGTCACCACCACCCCCCCCCCCCCCGCACCTCCACCCTCTTCTTCATCTAGACAAACTATATTTATCTTGATCACAGCTCTGTGAATTGTTACTAAAGCGTACCTCCAAGGTGGTGTTAACCTCGTCAGAATGTGTGGCAGAAAGTAGTAGGTGATATTTGACAGCGTTTTCACTCACAGATGACTGTTTTGTCCCTGAACATGTGAATTATCTCCGCTGTCAGCTTCAGGAAATCTAATAGTTTATTTTCAGTGTTTCCGCCCTCCTCCCCATCTTTCTTTTTCTACATTTTTTCACACTGTCTTTTGTCTTGTGTTCCTTTCTTCCCAGGCCCTACAAGCAGCGAGGCAATTACTCTTGCAGCAGCCAGGCAGTGGCCTGAAATCTCCAAAGAGCCAGGACAAGCAGCGTCCACTGCAGGTAAAGCAGCTCCCCGTCTAATCTCTTAAGTCCATCCATAATACATGCTCCTCCGAAAAGAAGATTTCCTCTGTTCCACAAGTGTGTTTGATTTGCTAACGCAATCCTGCACACCTGCCATTGGAATCTTAAAACTGGACAAGGCCGTCCCCAGGAAGCTAAAACACAAGAATAAAAGAACAGGGAGGAAAGTTTTATCCGTCTGTGTTCAAATAAACATCCTCAAACAGGAGGATCATTATGTATAGTATATCCACAGGTCGAATGGTAGCATGACAAATGATTTGATCTGCTTTTCTACACTACAGTAGATCCATACCATTGTTGACACTTCCAGAGCTTAGTTATTATTTCAAAGACATGTCAGCCTGATACAGATGGCTAATTTTAACCGCCTGTCATTCCCACTTTTCACAACTAATTTGCCTTATTGATTCGTAGACCTGTCTATTTCTGTTGTCAGTGATTTGGAAAAGGTCACACATGTATACACACATGCACATTAACACATCCTCTTTCTTCCTGGTGTGAAGATTTCTCTCACATTCAGCTCGTTTTAGACAGTGAGTTTCGCCTCAAATTACGTAAAGGCCCCTTGACATCTGCTCCGGTGTTTTATTATTATTATTTTTTGATTCAATGTATTTTTAGCCGTTTGAAATTGAAGTGTGGGACTCGGTGCCCTGCACTCGGCTAATAAGTACTATCAAGGAGCAACGCTCATTAGGGGCTCTGTGCATTTCATTAATGTCAGGGAAATTGGCGTTAACCTCACCCGTTGATATTTTCACAGAGTCTAACAATGGCGACACCTCCAATTGGAGTCACACCCCTGTGTACCTAATTACGCACAGGCGGAGAGATAAGGCTGGCGAAGACTCCGTCATGCTCCTGCATTTAAATAATTCACCTCATCAAGAGTGTCAATATTATCCGTATATTCACACATATTGGCATCAGATACATATTTCTCAAAAGGTGTTTATTTATTTGAGTCTAATTAAACAAAAGGGTCTATTCCTTCTTCTATTTGAGGTTCTGTACGCCAAAGTGAATAGATTCAAACAAATCCTGATCTTCAAATGCCTGCATAGTCACCACATGGCAGGAGGAACAATATTGAATGAGAGCAGTGTGGGTGCATGATAACCGTCAGGCCATATCCAAACCCCTTCCTCTAATAACACCAGCCCATGGTAAATATTGAATATTTACATTTGCTTACTCCATCCTTGCCTCGCGATATGAATCAATGTGAATCAGAGGGGCCTGTCGATCGACCCCGACCCCGGCTCCCAACTAATCCATGTGTTGATCCAGCTTTTATTAACATCCTCACCTCTTTGTTCCAAAAAGTCTCCTTATGGAGCGTCACAGGAGAGGCACCGCTCACTCTCCCAGTGATACACACCAGCACAAACACTGCTCTCTGGTTCAAGATCTTTTTTACACTGCTGTGTTGCCTAGAATCCACTCATTTCAAATGACATTTTAGCTGTAATACTCCATTGTGTAAATACCGGTATGTAGCAGCAGAAACTCTGACTTGATTAAAAATCCATTCATATTGTTTCTTCTCTCTTGTCAGTGCCAGATTTTCTTCTCTTGTCTTGAGGGAGTATACACAATAAAGCTGCATTATTTACCTGGATTACGAGGCCACAATGGGTGCTATAGTGCAATATGTTATTAGCTGCACGGCTTGATAAGAGTCAATGGCAATCAAGGCGCATGTTTTCCACCGGAGGAATCAGACACATTGATCCCCTTGTATGATTAGCGCAGCAGAAAGTGGGGAAAGGATTAATATTACCATGACATCCTGCTTATGGTAGAGATACTGATAAATCCTCTGCCAGTCTTTTTCCCCCTTGTTCTCCCATCTTTGGTATTTAAGAGCGGGGAAATGATCCATAGATCATGGCATGTAAATTATTTAGTACACAAGCATCTAAGTGCCTCAGCTTGCAGTTTTAATTACGCGTATTAGCGGCTAAAGGCTCTCGCCTGACTAATTCTATCCGCTCGCTCATCGCTGCTCCTCAGGAGTTGATGATGCGGAGGCAGGCAGCTCTGGCATCCACACACACGCATGTAAAGAAAAAAAACAGCCTCACAAACACACATACAAACACACACAAGCTGCTTCTCCACATTTGCGTAATGTGACAGGTCTATTATTACACAGTAAGCCCACGGGAGCACTCAATAAACACCTATTTCTCCCTGTAAATCCCCCTGCCTCCGCCATGCTGCTTACACGGCTCTCCCAAGGCACACAACACCCTCTCGTCTCCGTCTCCTCTCTGCCCTCGTCTCCGTGGCAATAACCCCCCCCCCCCCCCTCTGAAAGGCATTTATACACTGACATTTGGAATACAAATAAAGAAACGCGGACAAGGAGAGGCGGAGAGGATTACAGTGGCCTATGAATCTGACAGTTGTTTCGCTCGCACACACACGAACATCTACACACACAAATGACAGTTACTTAAAGTTTTTACATTGTGACTTTGAGCAACTGTTGTTGTAACTGGCTGTATTGATGGGTATGATTAGAAACAGGGCAGAGCTTGAGTTAAAGCAGCTTAAATCCTTTGTGCAAAATGTTTGGAGTAATGGCTTATCCCGCAAAATAACAATGCCAGATATTAAGGCGACACAACCACCATGCTACTCACACACCACCCCAAGTTTCCCTTTGGGACACAACCACCACCTCTATATGTCTCATACAGTGTTGGATAGTTACTAAGAACTGTACTAAACATTTTGAAGTACTTAAGTTGCGTACTTTTAACTCAATTTATGAATTATAATGTATATTTACAGTATGTATATAGATACCCGGCAGCAAAAAAGTAATTGCATTTTACAGCCCCAAAATTAAATGCATTTACACAATTATGCATCACTCATCATAATCCAGTCACATAATAGCCATTCTACCCATGAGTACTTGTGGTTTTTCTTGCAACAGACTATTCTACACTGTGGTATTACTACGTTTACTTAAGTAAAGGATATGAGTACTTCTTCCACCTCTATGTGCCACAAGGCACTTATAACACAGCCAAATTGACCCTCTAACTCTGCTTTGTGAGTGTGTCAGAGGGGGGGGGGGGGGGGGGGGGCTCCACAGTGTGACCCCTTCCTCCAAATATCCAATTCCTAACCATGCACTCTCCACAGAGAGAGTGTTGCTGCTCTGCCCCTTTCACACTCAAGCTGTGAATACCTTTTCAACAGGGCTAATAACCTCAGTCCCATCTGTGCAACGCTCCAACTCTTAACTACAAATATTTAAGCTTTTTATGGATGGGGAGATGTTTGTGTAGCCCGGCGTTCTGTAAATGCTACGGCTTCCTGCCCAGGCCAGTCAAGATTAGCTGTGGGCACTGGGCCATCCGAGGAAGTGTCACACTTTTTAAAGGTCAGGTCTACCACTGAGCCAATATCACCTCGATGGCAGAACTCATCTGCTTATTGGCTTTCATCCGGAACACACACACACACAGATGCAGGGAAAAGGGCTACGACGCTAGGCTTGAGTATAGGTTAGCTGACTACAGCGTGCGTGGCTAAAGCATTCACATTTACATTTATGAATATATCTTGCCACTGCATCCCCTCTGGTTGGATCTGAAAATAGAGAGAAATTATCACTGCGAGAGGGGGGAAAATAATATGTTATTCATGAGAAAAACTTCTGTTGACTCTGAGAAAAAAAAACAGTCAGCACATTTTAAGTCAAACAGCCTCTGTTACTGCTTTTGTAACCAGAAAACAAGATTTTTTTTCCCCTCCCCATCTCCCTCCCTACTGCTCTTTTTTTTTTCTCCTGCATTTACAACACCTACAGGACAAGATTGCTAAATTGCGAGGACAGAGCAGGTTCATCATTGTGATGCAAAAGAAGTTGAAATGCAACCCCAAGGCGAGGTAGCTGAGTTTGGGGGATCAAGAGAAAGTGAGAGGGAGGGAAGGATAAAAAAAAAAAAAAAGAAAGTAGCTCAGACCTTTGATGTAGCAGCAACAAATGTACCTTGTGACAGAAGATACATGGGTGCAATAAACGAGTTATACCAGCCCTTACACATGCAATCAGATGATTCTGGCCAGGGTGTTAATTGGATCCTAACCGGCAGATCTGATACGCCTGGGCCCCGGTGGTGAGGGGGAAAGCCTTTCCAAGTGATGAACTATAATTCACTGAGCTGCTTGAAGCACTTGTAATTTACTGTGTGTCACTGACGAAGAGGCTGATCCAGTGGAGGCCATATTACCTGCAACATCAGAGGGAAGTGTGTGTCCCCCCACCCTCTCCCCCCACGTTATCCCTCTCACTTCTACTTTCTTTCTATTTCTTCCTCTCTCCGCACTTTTTTTAAACCCCCCCCCCCCCCACTATCCATCACCGATTTGCTCTTGAAAAATGCGCACCTGCAGGGAAGTATCAGTCGGGAGTGAATCGTGCCACTTTAATGATAAAGGTGCCACAATTTGTACTGATAATGACACAAACAATGTGCACGAGCAATGTCACACACAGCCACACTACATCAGAGAGGCTTAATCAATGTCTATCTGCATGTAGAGATAAATCAATGTGGAAATTGTGCTAAGCCCGTCCCCATCTCCTCCAGGCTTTTGCATGATGGGCCTTTTATGTTATGATAAATTGCACTTCCCTTGCCAAACTGCTATGGAAATTGATTTAGGGGAAAACATTCAGTAGTCTACTTAGCCTCAGTCCTGACAATCTGGAGTATTGATCTCCCCTAAGCTGGAAAACATGACGTGTGTGTGTGGCTCCTATGTGGTTTTACATAGTAAGATCCATGTTCTTCTAACAGACCACACACTTTGGGTTAGTGTTAGCGCCGACTGCCCTGTAGCCTCGGTGGTCTTTCAAGTGGAGAGTCCCAGCTATCAATAATCATATGGCCAGATTGGGCAGTAATTGGCTAGTAAATGAGAAGTGAAAGCTGAAAGGAACTCTACAGGTCAGAAGTGGCATAAGCTATGAGGGGGGGCCTGAGTGTCGGCCCACTGGGACGCTCATGGGAGATGAAAAGGGACGTGGGGTAGTCGGTGGAAGCCCCTTTTTCTCCTCTCGACGTCTTACTCTCTGTGTAAAAAGAAGCTTGTGGCTTAATTAGCAGCAGCTCCCTGCCAAGGATCCACAGTAATTACCCACTAGGACCCTTCCATTTCTCATCGCAGTTATCTTAAGCAGTGTCTGTAGCTCAGTCCCCTGTCCGGCGCTACAGGAACATCCTGTCGTTGATAACCGCCCCGTGCTCCTGCAATGTTTATTACCGACATCTAATCGCTCCTGCTTATTACTGCTAAGTGAATTGTATAGAAGGAAATCGAATAAAAAGGAATTCCTCTCCGCTGGACTTTAATTGTTTAAGTTTGAACTCCACTTATCTCCTGCTTTAGGTGATTTTAGTTGACTCATTGCCGTGAAGATAAAGCGCCACACAGTGGAGTGGGTGTAATTGCTGGAAGGGCTTTTGTCCACTGGTCCAGATAGTTGGAGGCAGGGAGCTGTGAGCAGTGGAGGTGTTTTGCATTTAATGGCAGATCGGCCAGTTAAATCAAACATAACGAGCAACTTTAGGTGCCAGCTCTGCCTGGAAGACATACCTGAGCTCTCCGTGGAAGAGCGTGACCTTTTGTGAGGCATTGGACAGGCTGGTTACAGGCGGGAGTGGTGTAATGATCTGCTTGTTCTGCTGAGGGCCCCACCAGTGTTTTCACATCAGGAGCCAATTTAAAGGTCCTTTGTTTTGCTCTCCAACTTTGAGAGCAACCACATGGCTTCAAAGTTCATGTCAATACCGCTCATCGTTCTCTTCAAGTCATGGCAGATAAACAAATAGGGGTTTAAATGGTGAACACGGTGAAAAACTAAACATCTTTAGAGAGCAGGGGTAACATTTCAATGATCTCCCATTCAAATGGGCTCTTTTAAGAATCTGGAGAAGTACCTTTTTCTGTTATTAAGGTCCCAAGTGGCCCCATCAGCTGCAGCTAATTGCAAACCATTTAATAAATCCCGTTAATATTTTTGGTGCACTAGTGTTGGAAATACATCCTTTTGGATTACAGAGGCACAGCCCAATTGGATATCATGGCTGCAGAGATTCTATTCGCAGCGCGCGGGTGTTTACGCCACTGCCATCGTCGCGTAAATGCTCATTAATTGTATCCCTTCGTGGCAAAATCATTTCTAGGAGAGGCAATTCAGCCTCCTGTTCCTTTCAATTCACCGCTCACGTCAATCAAGCCCTCGTGCAGTATCCTGCAAAATGGAGGTGTTATATTCCTGCAATTATCATGTCATATACTCGAAAATGTAAATGAACGCGTGTGTAAAATTAAATGTATGGGTTGTCAGTGAAGAATAAGAACCAGAAGAGCAATTACTTATCTGCTTTCATCTCAGAGCCTCTGATACGTCAAGCAGAAAAGCATGCAGTTAAATGCTGGAATTAGCATTGTGCTGCACTTCACAATGGACGTGGGCCATCGCCTTTTCTCCCCTTCCTTTCTTTCTTCCTCCTGCCTTTCCTGCCTCTTCCTTCCCCTCGTTTTGTTTGGAGCTTTGGTGAAATGAAGAAGATTATCGGCCATTATGAAATTGAAAGTGTAAAAAGGAACTTCCCCCTTTCATAACCTAGTTGTTTGCTGTTTCTTCAGCTGTTCCTTGTTTGGTTTTACTCATTCTTGCTGAGACCCTGCATTATTCATTTACAGGTATCTGACTTTGAATGCTTGTATTTCACCACTCGCACAATGAAGACACATCTTAAAGCGGAATTTATATTTAATTCCACTTTATATATGCATGCGCATACATTTGTGTTTAATCCTGCTCGTCTGCGCCCGCATCCCTTTTGTGAACCAAAACATCTTTGTGCTAGCATCCAATTAATAGTCTTAATGAGTGCATCACTCATGTTGTTTCTCAGCTGCACTCGTCCCATTGTCACAGCATCCAACACAAAACCAGGAGTGACTGCGGGGTAATTACTTACCTAGCAAATGTACCTTTAAGGGTTAATAACATTGAAGGTGTAAGCAGGGCATTTGCATAATTACACACGGACTGGTTAATTTGCAACTTTTTGACGGCTTTTGTTCAGCACCTCGCTTATTGTGAATGCATTTTCCTTTGGCACTCTTGCATGGAGGAAGAAAAGAGATGTACCACAACATCCTCCTCCTCCTCCTCCTCCACCTTAGATGGAGTCCCTTCTCTCTAAGACCCTAATGAACAATGGAGGCAGGATTTGTTTGAATATGAATATGAATGTGCAGCGGGGCCGGCTGGAAGTTGACCTTCAGCTGTGATTTTCAGTTCATCAGGATTAGTCAAGGCGGGCGATCAGGAGCCACTAATGCATAATGACTTCTAAAATGAAAAATGTGTAGTGACCATGCAAATGTCTCGGCTAATCAAAGAGGGGGGAGAACCTGGGGTGGGCGTTGAGGAGAGGAGAGCTAAACAAGGACGTGTCAAGGCCTGACAGAGAGAGAAAGGGAGAGAGGAAGGGAGGGGAGACATGCATGGAAAGTAATCAAGGCGGCTTGATTAGCTGGCGATGAGGACAGGGATGTCTTATTGGCCCCTTGACACACCATATAGGCTGGCTACTGTCATGGCGCCTCCACACTGTCGCAATTAGCGTCAGTGAAGGTGTTGCTACATGTTGATGTTTTAATTGTGTTATAAAGCTTGTCATTCAAGAATCTTTCATGACAAGACGCACACCGCCCTTAAAAAAGCATAACATTAGTAAATTGTTGTGCTATAAAGATTTCATTACATTTTAAAGGTCATACAGGGAAGGAAGACGGGATTTGAGTCGCTTTAATCAGAATTGAGGTATTATTTGGTCAAGGAGAATCAACTGGTGAAGAATCATTCAATCTCGTTGACTTTATTTTCCACTGACAAACCAATGAAATTAGTGACAGTGTTTTGTGGTTAGAATAAGAAGCTTAAACCCCAATATAACTGTTAGCACACACTCCTCCGTAAGAATGTGTGAACACAATCATAGATGGAAAAGAAACGTACCCTTCGTTGATGGATCTGCTGCCTGAGAGGTCGTTTGCACTGCCGTCTCAGAAGCATTTGGTAAAAATACACAATATGTGTCTTTGTTTGGTTTAGTGAAGTTCTTCTAGCATAGTTCGACAACCCATAGTTTAATTATTCTCTCGCAAAAATGATATTGATTTTTCAAAAACAGCATGTTTGCAGAGTATAAAACTCTAAAAAAACGATTTACTGCAGGAGGTTTGTTTTCAATAGACTTCTATATAAGCAGAATATACAAATACGATATTGTTCAGGGGTAACCCCTAACACACAACCCCCCCTCATCTTGCTGCTGTGTCCACTTCATCAGTATAGTTCCAATCAACTGTACAGCAGTGCATTTTTCACGCTGTTTCACATTAGCAGCACTGATAGGCATGCTAAAGCGGGGGAGTTCAAGGGTCCTGCTAATTAAGGTCTACGTCTATTTTAAATCTCCTACTTTTCCCTGTGGGCGTGGAGGCAGAGCAAAAATAAGAGGAGCAAAAACAAAGGCACAGCACCCATGTGTCCTTCAGCCTCTTTACCTACCTCCCCATCACCAATTACAACCTCCCAGAAGATCCATGCACGTCTCTAACGCTCTGTTCCTCCATCTTTCTCCCCTCTATCCATCTCACCTCTCTTTTCCACCCATTTTCTCTCTTCTCCAACGTCCAGGTTCCAGTGTCAGTGGCCATGATGAGTCCCCAGGTGATCACGCCGCAACAGATGCAGCAGATCCTCCAGCAGCAGGTGCTCTCCCCCCAGCAGCTCCAGGCCCTGCTCCAACAGCAGCAGGCCGTCATGCTGCAGCAGGTACACACACTCTTTCACCTCCATGCACACACACACACACACCCGTAGATAAATATTTAGGGACAAACACTCTTGTCGCATGCAGACACACGCACACCAGCCGTGTCCCATCGGAAGCAGGCTGTAGATGCACACAAACAGACACCTAGAAGCATATATTCTCTTACTCTGACCTTAAAGACAGCAGTAAAACTACGCACATGCACAAAATGTGGTCACCCTTAAAGTATATGATGTATACTATATGTATATTGTGGGGGAAATAGACATTCATAGACAAACCATCTTGACTTCATATCATTTGTGCATGAATACAAGTCATTATTTTATATTTTTTTAACCTAACATTATTAAATATGCTAAATTCAATCTGTGTTTCAAGCTATTGCACGTTGGCTCCTTGGAAGTACTTGAAAAGTCAACATGTTGATACCCTGCATATGGTACTTTCCTACCTACACTGCTGAGTCACCCACCTGCTCTGAAATCCTCACAGCCACAGCTCACCGCCGCCCTGTGTCCTTGACACGCTTACCAAGAGGAATTTTGAAATTGGCGTACTTGTTCTTGTCACCTCTAATTAACCATCTCCAGTGTGTCGCCGGTTCAATTCCCTGACAAGCATTCACCAGGGGCCGGTGTGTGGAGTAGGGCACAGCTGAATGATAGGTGATGGATGATGTAATATTTTGAATCAGCTCGAGGAAGCACAGTCTGGTGTCAGAGTTGAAATGCAGCTGTCATTCGTAGATTTGATTAAGGCAGAGAGGATAGTTTAATTAAGAACGTCAGTCATTCTGGTTATTGCTCTTCATTAGGAGCGCTCGGGAACTAGAGTTGGTTTCTGTGCAACGCCTTTTCCACGGCAAATTATGTTTCATACAGAACATAAAGCAGCTATACTAAATCAACAACAACCACAGGGTCAAAACCTGTCGTCAGTCAGCTAAGACAAGTTATATTGTTGATTTACAGCAAGTGTTACAAGACATGCTGTTATTTATATGGCTGTTAGCAGAAAACTGCGCAACTGGTCCGCTTTATGGACTTCTCTTACCGGCCAATAACAAGAGACAGAAATCACTGTCTAAATAGCTCTGTGGTGTGTGTGTGTGTGTGTGTGTGTGTGTGTGTGTGTGTGTGTGTGTGTGTGTGTGTGTGTGTGTGTGTGTGTGTGTGTGTGTGTGTGTGTGTTGGTGTGATGTGTGTGTGTGTGTGTGTGTGTGTGTGTGTGTGTGTGTGTGTGTGTGTGTGTGTGTGTGTGGGTGTGTTGTGTGTGTGTGTGTGTGTGTGTGTGTGTGTGTGTGTGTGTGTGTGTGTGTGTGTGTGTGTGTGTGTGTGTGTTGTGTGTGTGTGTGTGTGTTGTGTGTGTGTGTGTTGTGTGTGTGTGAGGACTCAGTTCAACCTAGCAGACCTGTTCCTTAGAGGCTTTATTCTGTTTATTCCAGCCACTCCAAAGGACGCCAGTGCACTCTGGCAGCCAAATGCATAGTTAATATGATGAATTGTTGCCCCAAACAGCACTGTGGGACCATTAAAAGTCCATATGGAGAGCACTGCGAAAGACAGCGAGGATACAAATGCCAAAAGCACTTGAACATGTTGTTTATAATTTGCAACAGATGCTTAAGAGACAATATCTCGATTATTGTAGGCTTTGACTTGTTTTGCAAGTTATTTATACATCCTCTAAATGCCAAGTCTGACTGATATCATCATAAAGGGGAACAAATAAATATCATGAACTATAAATACGTTTCATATATATTAGAAAATAAGACTGTGTACTCAATCGGTTTCTTCTTTCTCTCTCTGTGTACAGCAACACCTGCAGGAGTTTTATAAGAAACAGCAGGAGCAGCTTCACCTGCAGCTCCTCCAGCAGCAGCACCCCGGCAAGCAGGCTAAAGAGGTGGGTGCAAACTCTCACACTCACCGACACCCATGATTCTTCGACACAATAAATGGTCAAAATGGCCGGCAGAACTCATAGATATTAGAAATATGGAAACATGTGATCATAAATACTTGTTTAAAGCATATTCTCTTAATTTATTCTCGTTTTTTCCGACACAAAGCCCACATTTTCCTTTATATTCTAATCACTTCAGATGACTTCAGATGTCCAACTTGTTAACGAGCTGTTCCTGTGGGTGTACAAACACCATACAGTGCTCATAAATCACCGTGACAGCCAGCCGGTGGACAGACGTGTCTCGGTCTTGTCCTTTTTGGCCGTCAGAGAAGAAGAGATGATGAGCATGACAGCTTTAGCAACATTTGTGTAGCCGTAGAAGTGTCAAGGCCACATCACCGTACGTGTGGAAGCAGTCAAATTGGTCAGAGAACAGGCATCACATACACTCCTCTCCCTCTCTTGGATGTGTTGCGCTCTTCCTAAAGCAGCCCATTATGCCGACCCTACAGGAAGCCGCCGCTGACCTCCCGGCGGCTTTGTTTCTGTTTGAATTTCTGAATAGAGTTTTTCAGGGGGGCCCGCCATCAAATATGGAATAGAAATTGCTTCCTTATTTCTCTTGAGGCAGGTTGGGCGGACAAACTGCCTTCTTCCATCACTCCATTATGCAGCCTGTTTTTCCAGTGAGCGCATCACAAGTTTCCCCCTCCACCTCCACGCTCCTGCAGGTCCACCTCCATACAAACATGACAGGCTGCGTGCACATACACATGTAGATGAAGAAAAGAGCAGACAAAAAACATCTTGTGACATTACACACTAAAAAGACTATATTATCCCTCAAATGTAATTTAATAAATGCAATTATAACCTGACTTTACCTGATGTTTTGTCTCTTCCTAAAATCCACTCCCTCTGGCTTGTTTTGCCGCGGTCACTGAGTTCGATGTTTTTCATTCTGTTGTTGTTTTTATTGTTGTTTTGCACAGGGCTTACGCAATTGCCTGTCTGGCCCAGCGATAAACAACTCTGTGAGGCAGCGAGGGGAGCAGAGAGAGGGTGGAGCGGGGGCAGGCGCTGTGCATGTGGGTGCAAATATATTTGTGTGTGTGTGTGTTTGCACTTGTGTTCATGCATTGGCGCGATTCTGTAAATCTCATTCTGCCTGCTCCCTCTGGCCACATAAGCTGTAACAGACCATCAGTGGAGGCGAGACAATTAACTATCAAGGGGGGGGTTGTGGGATGGGGGGGGGGATTATACCAGAGGCTTAGTATCATACACAATCACAAGCACAGACACTGACGGGCTCGAGAGCCGGTGTATCCACACACAGCTTTGTGTCTGTTTGTGTGTGTGTGCGCTCACACACAAAGAGAGGCAACAACACTGTGGTACAGCCCAAAAAAAGCAGCAGGCAGGGGCTAAGTGAGCACAGACAGAGAGGCAGAGCTGGAGGAGAAGAGGTGTAGCTAAGGTCACAGGCAGTGAGTGAGTGAGTGAGTGAGTGAGTGAGTGAGTGAGTGAGTGAGTGAGTGAGTGAGTGAGTGAGTGAGTGCAGACTCTCCACACTCTCTCTCAGTTGTTAATTTGTTTGTAATTCTTCCCTCCCTCTTCCTCCTCTCCTCTTCCTCCTCCCCTCCTTCCTCTCTATAGCAACAGCAGCAGCAACAGCAGCTGGCCGCCCAGCAGCTCGTCTTCCAGCAGCAGCTCCTGCAGATGCAGCAGCTCCAGCAGCAGCAGCACCTGCTCAACATGCAGCGGCAGGGCCTGCTGTCGCTGCCCGGGCCCGCCCCCGGACAGGCCGCCCTGCCCGGACAAACCCTGCCCCAGTCAGGTAAGAAGAGGAGGAGCAGTGAGATGACGACAGGGAGTGTAGTTGATCTGACTGATATGACTTGGTGGTCACATGCTCAAGTGAGGTGTAAGTGTTTCTCTGTCTCTTCCATCTTTTTGTTTTTCTCATTGGTATGCACCTGTGTCCCCCCTGCGTTATCTCTAAGTATGTCTGCCTCCCCCTCATTGGTATGCTCTTCAACCAGCTACTTTGTCTCTAACTCTCCACATGATCGTTTTGTTCACTCTTCCATTCTCTCCTTTCTCTCTCTTCTTGTCTGATTGTGGCTCTCCTTGTCTACTTCTGTTTCTCTCTCAGCTCTGCCTATGTTTGTTGTTTTTCTCTTTCTCTCTTTCTATTCCCCCACGCTCCTCAACCCCCCTCCCCCCCCCTCTCCCCTCCTTCATTTGCCCGGTTTGTGTTGTTGTTATTGTTGTTTACTGCCTTCTCTGAGAGCCAGGAGAAAAATAAAAGAACAGAGAGAGGAGAGCTAGCTTATATTTCTTCTCCTGAGCCGAGTAAACACCTATGTTTGTTGTTTACCAGCAAAATGGCGCAGACAGAAACAACTAGCAGGGAGATGTTAGAAAGGAATCGAAGTGAATATTTCTAAATGAGTTGCCAAGCTGAAAACAAGCAGTGGACACAGCTTGTTAATCTCAGATAAAAAACGTGCTGTAATCATTACTTTATGCTTCTTTTTCATTGAAAACACACACATCTTAGTAGGCAGATAAGACACACTTGGTTTTATTGAGCTGTATTAGTTCAAACTCAGGTTAGCTTTGAGGAAGAACAGGATGATAGTCCCTGAAGAAAAAGTCCTTGCACTTTTTTGGTTGTTGAATAAAGTTTGAGTTTAGAGTTCAGCTTTTGCCTCACACACACGACACACAGGTTTTGCATCTATGGTCTAACGTTGTCCTTCTTGATTTCCCTCTAGCTGGCCTGAGCCCCGCTGAGCTGCAGCAGCTGTGGAAGGATGTGACCGGAGGCGGTGGTCACGCCATGGAGGACAACGGCATCAAACACAGCAACGGAGGGGGGCGGCAACGAGGCGGCGGAGGCGGAGGCGGCGGCGGAGGCGGAGGCGGCGGCAACGGAAGCGGCGGCAACGGAGGCGGGTTAGACCTCTCCACACAACAACTCTTCCTCAACTACCTCCTCCTGCAACCCCGCCAAAGCTTCGCCGCCCATCTCCCCACCATTCCATCGCCAAACGGACAGTCCCCCGGCCCTCAACCACAGAAGAGAGAGGGAACGGGAACGGGAAAGGGAGCGGGAGAGGTACAAAATATGACACCACCTAAGCCGAGCAGATGAAAAGTTTACAACCCGTAACACACGCTCTTGTTTTCATGATTCAATATAGAAACACATCGGAGTATTTGTCCCTGTGCTACAACAGGGACAATTGTTTATTTGTTCAATAGTTTATTAGTGTTTTGGTAAAAAAATAAATAAGAGCCTCGTTCTCCCAGGGGAGCCCGCGTGCCATTGAACACACTTAGCTTGCACACAGATATCAAACGCAGGGAGAGGGAAGCCATGCAGGCAGGCGCTCTCACTACAAGCCTCTCTGGCAGGCGAGACAAAGGTAACCTCCTTGTACATTAAGTATTTAGTGCTTTCTCTCTTTTTTCTCCTCTTTTGAAAATTACTTTCTTTGCTTGCTTGTCATGTAAACAGAATACGTGATGCCTTGAGTGGCATTTCCAGGATGTTTATCCTTGTGATGGCGTCTTTTATAAATGCACCCAGCACCAAAACACTGACTGTTCACATATCCGCCTATCTGGCCCATGCATTATTCAAAGGCTTTTCTTGGGCGATATTATAATAAGGACTTAGGGTTGGTGTGTGTGTGTGTGGTGTGTGTGTGTGTGGTGTGTGTGTGTGTGTGTGTGTGTGTGTGTGTGTGTGTGTGTGTGTGTGTGTGTGTGTGTGTGTGTGTGTGTGTGTGTGTGTGTGTGTGTGTGTGTGTGTGTGTGTGTGTGTGTGTGTGTGTGTGTGTGTGTGTGGTGTGTGTGTGTGTGTGTGTGTGTGTGTGTGTGTGTGTGTGTGGTAGAGACTCACACTGGAGGTGGAAGTGCTGTGTAATTGGTTTAAAGTAGATGCTATCTCTCCAGCACCACTAAAAGGAGGCTTGAAAAAGATACCTTCAGAGGGAAGACAGAGAGGAAGAGAGAGGTAGGGAGGGAATGAGAAGAGAAGGAAGAAGGGGAAGAAAATAATGTTTTTGTTATCTGCTTGTGTCCCGAGGGGCGTGTGGTGTCTCATAATGATCGAACACGGAGTATTGTCAAGAGCACTGCTTACTAACATGCCATGGATCGATGTGGGGAAAGCCCTTCTGTAAAAAAAAAAACCAGTGTGAGCTCCTCCAGCGCTGACACACACATATTCATGGACCACACACATGCACATAGGCATCGACCACACACATGCCTAACCTATAAGCAGACAAACACACACATACTGTACGCAACACACTCCTCTCCTAAAGGTTAAACTGTCATCTTTAATAGGATGTGCTGTCTAGGCAGGGTCGTAACTTATTTGGGTGCCATTTGAAAAACGCCGGAGCACCCCCTGCCCCCGTTGTCCTCAAAAGAACATAAGTTACACAGAGTATTAATCTCCTGATGAAAATGATATGGCTGTCTGGATTTTTAATGTTTACTTGAAAGCGGCCACCACCCTCCTCCCTATAATGGCTTTACAAGATGGGATGGTGGCTACGGCTCAGTCTCCATTGCTTAAAGTAATTCATATTGTAATCATGTAGATTGATTGGAGATGAACAGTTTAATTGAATAGCACTCTAAAATATTCCTCACAACCAAGTTTTCCTGTTTTAATCGACCTTCCGATATGTTTTTCTTTCACTCTGGCTCAATTTTCTCGCCTTTTTTTGGAAAATTCAACTGAACTGACCTGTTTTGACCCCTCCTGAACTCCCTCCACCTGTCTGATCTCTTGTATTCTTAGTTTTCTCTTTTCTTTTGCACTATTTTCCAGTTCACTACATGAAGAAAGTGGAGGAACCCACCCCCTGTACGGCCACGGTGTGTGCAAGTGGCCCGGCTGTGAGAACATCTGCGAGGACTTCGGACAGTTTTTGAAGTAAGAACATGTTATACTGCTCACCTCCTCCTGCTACCACCATGTGGGGGATTTGTGTGCCTGTTTTATCGCGACACGCACAAAAGTTCCCCCCCCCTACACCACAGCAGCTTCTTTCTGCGGGTACAAAGAAAACATCAGAGGCTCTCACCGAGCACACTCTGACCCCGCAGACAGCCAGTTGTCAGGGTTCAGCTCCAGCAGTGCAGGATTCAAACCAACTCTGATCCATAAAAAATCTCCTTCCTTCCTTCCTTCCGTGGAAGGGCCTGATAGGTTTGTGAAAAAACGTCAAACGCTAATGGTAACCCGCGCGGCCGCACACTTACCTTCCACAACAAAGGCCCCCATTCACTGTTGTCATGGTGCAGGCGCCAGAGCGAATTAACTCTTCATGCTCCATCAACAATTTAGTTAATTAGCTCATTTGTAATTGGCCGGCTTTGTTGCCAGGATGTTAGTGGGGTGACATCAAAGGAAGAAGGTGTTTGCAGCGCTGCCGATTACAGGTTATCACATTGCCACTCACTGAGAGTCTCTCCCTCTCTCCCTCTCTCCCTCTCACTATCACTCTTTCCCTGCCTCCCTGCTCTCACACAGAGAAGAAAAGAAAGGGGAAAGCTTTAATTTGAATATTCTAATTAGATTTGTAATTAACTGTGAAATAACGATCTGGCGAGTGTTTTTCACCGGCTGTAAATGTCCATGTGAATTCGCATAAACTATTGAAATCGGGACATTGTTCCGGCGTATTTTCCAAATGATGCATTTCTCTACAGTAGTGACGGTAATAAGTTGCAGAACGCTAGAAAATGTACTGAGAAAATAAACTAGTCCACCCATGGGGGAGCTGCTGCAGGATTTAGGTCAGGCTTTTGCTAATTCCACAGCAGCTTGTGAATTAAAGCTCAAAGGTGTCTCCGTGAAATGAGACGACTCTAATAAAAATAGTGTTTACCAGTATTTGAAACACGCAACCTGACATGACATTAAGCTGCATTTTCACACTCCATCAACGCACACAATGCTCTCAAAAGAAAGAACAATCGACAGTGATGGATTTAAAATGAATCAGAGGTGAATATATATTCCAACCATTGCTTGACAAGTGTGTTTGCTTATCCCCTGTGGAAAATGTGCCACATACATGTCAATGTCATCATCCATTTTCTGCAGCAGCACATCCATAGCAGCGTTGCTTATGAAAAGCCTGCTTGCTGTGTGCAAAGCAGTCTAACCTCAGCTAGTCCAAGAGGAAGAGTTTGCCT